CCTGCCTCTGCCTCCCAAATGCTGGGATTAAAAGTGAGTGCCGCCACTACCACCTGGCTGAGTGAGAGATTTTATGACACAGATGTATTGTCCCAGAGCAGACACTGTTAGTTAATTTCTCTATTAAAGGAATGAAATCCCAAGGATCTAGAAACACATGAGTTCTCAGTGTTCCAGAAATCTCTTGCTTGTCAATCTTGGTGAGAGATTCTCTAGCAGGTCTAGATGGGAACCTATACTAGTACTCCTGATCCATGAAGAAGTGGATTTGATGTGACCAAGCTTCCACAAGCTGCTCGGTACCAAAACAGAAAACACTTTAAGACATCTTCAATATATAAGATTCAGTGGTTAACAGCTTAACTAGAATGCTCCATTCAGATAAAAGTACGGAAAACAAAAGGAAGAACCCTTAAAGTAACAAAGAAACAAGTACAGATACCCTTGCCATCATGCTTTTGCTCTTAGGAAAAGGCTTACAAGATCTAGAGCCAAAGAAATGGTCAACGAGTCATCATCAATCTTAAGTCCAGGTCACTAGAATGGAAACAGCTTTGTTAACATACACACTGCTAGGTAAAGAGACTCTTCAGTGAGTAATTTTAAATTACATTTACAAAAGTGTTTGATCAAAGTTAGAAGCATTCATTACCTAGGGCTTTATGACTGACTTGGTATTTTATCCCACTATGAACTCATCTAACAAGAGAGACCTTCTCTCCAAGGCCATATACCATTACCTATCTTTGGCAGGTGGATTGGTTATGAACATACCAGCTTCTGTGGACAACAGTTTATCCTGGAGAGAGGGGAATACCCTCGATGGGATGCCTGGAGTGGGAGCAATGCCTATCACATTGAACGTCTCATGTCCTTCCGCCCTATCTGTTCAGCGGTGAGTCTCAAATTTTGACTTTTTCTTTTGCATGTGAGTGGGGTAAAAGATGAGGTCAGACTGACATTTGTTTGCTTCTGTTGATTATGTTGAATGTAACCGGAAGGATGAAAGTAACGAGTAACTGTTCCCTTCCTTTAAATCTATGACTTGATTTACCCCCTTCTGCTAAAAAGGGACTTTTTTTTTTTTCCTTTTCCAAGACAGGGTTTCTCCGTGGCTTTGGAGCCTGTCCTGGAACTAGCTCTGTAGACCAGGCTGGTCTCGAACTCACAGAGATCCGCCTTCCTCTGCCTCCCAAGTGCTGGGATTAAAGGTGTGCGCCACCACCACCCGGCTGGAAGTATTCTTTTTAATAGATTTTTTAATGGCCAGGTAGTCGTTGCACAAGCCTTTAATCCCAGCACTTGAGAGAGGCAAGTGGATCTTTGTGAGTTTGAGGCTGGCCTGGTCTACAGGAGTTAGTTCCAGGACAGTCAGAATTGTTACACAAAGAAACCCTGTCTCAAAAAAAAAAAAAAAAAAACTAATTGTTGGTCTGTTTCTGCTTAAACTTAAAAAAACGTAATATTCAAGACTGTCTTCATGTTTTCTGGGTGCTGGAAGTATGTACACTACCATGCCCAGCTGAGATTAAGTGCAGCCTGATGGGGGCATTCACTTCCTGCTGGGGTCACCATGTTGGAGGGGGAAGCATGTGGAGACTGGGCACTGAAGCAGGCAGTAGCTTTGCTGCACACCCTATTTCTATAATAAAATGATTTTTTTTGGACAGCTGCTGTGATCTGCCTTTGACATTTTTCTAAATACATATTTCTGCCACTTTGCTCTGTGTCTGACATGAGCTGAAAGAAAACTAAGTCATGTCAAATACTTATGTCAATACTGAGAAAATGGCAACAGAAAAGTATTTTCAAAATTAGAAAAGATGACCAAGTTTGGCCAGTTCAGCTATATCCTAAATGAGAGCTTAATGGAAAATTGGATTTTTAAGGAACTGAAAGAATGATTTGGTGCCTATGTTTAAAGAAGGAAATTACTCATTTTAAATGTGGCCAAAGTAGTGCAAGAAGTAATTACAGTCCTTAGAAACAGATTAGGAGTGTTTCTTCCCCATTTGCACATAGTATATCTCACAAGAATGTTACATCATTTTAAAAATAGACTTAAGTTTTATTTTCAGATTCAGTTTAGAATGCAGCCTGACCCGTTGTTAAGTAGTGCCTGGTGTTAAATTTTTACTTATCGCCAGGCAGTGTCAGGCGGATCTCTGTGAGTTCGAGACCAGCCTGGTCTACAGAGCTAGTTCCAAGACAGGCTCCAAAGCCACAAAGACTGTCTCAAAAAAAAAAAAAAAATATGAATACCTCTGAACCTAAATCATGTAATTTATTGGGGAGGTTACTAGAAACAAAAATGCAAGCACACAGTGTTTTATACACAGTGAGATCTTGCTGGGGCTGTAGATAAACAATTATACAGCTATACAGCATGGGTGAGGCCCTGGATTAAATTATGGACAGCAGTAACAAAAAACAGGTGACTGTTTTTTAATGCATCTTTATTTTCCTTTTTTTAATGTGTAGCTCAGGCTGGCCTCAAACTCGTGATCTTCCTGCCTCTTCCTCCTTCAGCAAATACTGACATTCACCATCAGAACCGGCTATTTTACAGTCTTATATTGGTTAAGTTCAAAAATCATACCAGTAGATTTTGCCAGTAGGCAAGAAAGTGTTTCAATTTTTAGGAAAAAATAGCAATAGAATAACTACTAAGGTTTTACGTTCTGGGTTATAGAATCATAAAGAGTCTAAGATTACCATCTTTGAGAAAGAGAATTTTATTGGACGCCAGTGGGAGATCTGTGATGACTACCCTTCCTTGCAAGCCATGGGTTGGTTTAACAATGAAGTTGGTTCCATGAAGATACAATGTGGGGCGTAAGTACACATGAATGTTAAGATGCCAAGGGTTTACTAGATTCCATACACTGGCACCCTAACTACTGGCATAATACTGCTGTAATTCTTTCCCCAGCTACTGCTTGTTCTTTCTTCCACTAAGTACCTCTGTAAAAGCTTTTTTTTTTTTTTTAAATATTTATTATGTATACAATATTCTGTGTGTATGTCTGCCGTCCAGAAGAGGGCACCAGACCTCATTACAGATGGTTGTGAGCCACCATGTGGTTGCTGGGAATTGAACTCAGAACCTTTGGAAGAGCAGGCAATGCTCTTAACCACTGAGCTATCCCCTCCAGCCCCCTGTAAAAGCTTTTATAGACAATCAAATCTTTCACAATTAAAGACAATCGTTTGTAGTCATTCTACACTCAGTAAACAAATACTCCCACTCTGCAACCCAGTACTAGTTTGGGGGTCTATGTCAGATTCTTAACCACATTTAATAATGTAATAATATTGAATATTTGAAATTTTCTAGCTGGGTTTGCTACCAGTATCCTGGATATCGTGGTTACCAGTACATCTTGGAATGTGACCATCATGAAGGAGACTACAAACACTGGAGAGAATGGGGATCTCATGCCCAGACTTTCCAGATCCAGTCAATTCGCCGTATCCAACAATAGTGGATTAAAAGTTTCAGATTTCCTCAAGTATGAAACCTTGATAAGCACTCTAGGCTTTATGTTCTACTCAATGCTTCCAAATGTTAGCTGCTAAAATCCATAATAAATGTCATTTAAAAAAATCAAAAACCAGCCTCGGAGACTGAATCAACTACCACACACAAATCCCTCTTGTGGATGACATTTTAAAGATAGTCTTAATATTCCCAGCCCAGGTCGTGGTGGCGCACAACTTTAGTCCCAGTACTCTAAAGGCAGAGGAAGGAGGACTGAGTTCAATTGAAGTCAGCCTGGTCTATAGTGCTTGTTTTATGATAGACAGAGCTACACAGAAAAACCATCTTGGAAAACAAACAACTCAAAATACCCTTGTATGTATTTGTCAATTATTTGCCAGGACAAGGACAATATTCCTATATCAAATAACGCAAATACTATCACTCTGACTGATTATGCATATTTTCTCCCTATCTCCACTATTCTAATAACCTAAGAATCTTCCCAACTTTTTAAGAATTAAGAAATTTTGGCCGGGCGGTGGTGGCACATGCCTTTAATCCCAGCACTCAGGAGGCAGAGGTAGGTAAATCTCTGAGTTCGAGGCCAGCCTGGCCTACAAGAGCTAGTTCCAGAACATCCTCTAAAGCTACTGAGAAACCCTGTCTCAAAAAAAGAATTAAGAAATTTTGGTTAAGAGATCCTATTGCAGAGGATCCTTGGTTTCCAGCATACACTTGAGGTGGTTCAGACTTAAATCCAGATCCAGGGATCCTCTGGTCTCCGCAGGCACCTATATATACACCTCACTATGCCCATTAAAAATCCTTTAAAGTTATAAAAAGCCAACACTCTCTGGAAGACACCTCAAAGATTATTCATAGAAAAAGATGGACAAAGTCACCTTAAATCCGAGCTCCTGGAAGGCAGAGATGATCTGTGAGCTTGAGGCCAGCCTGGTCTACATATTGAGTTCCAGGACATTCAGAGCTACATAGCAAGACTGCCACAAGAAAAGAGACATACTATGTACTTTGCACAATCAACCTTTGAAAATTGTCAATGTCACCATCTTAAGCTTCCAGTGAAGAATTAAAAAATTAAAGTACACACAAAAAAATAACACAAACACCCCAAAAACTTGAAATTTTTTATTCAACAATGTACATTTATTGTCTTATTTGATCTACAAATCTCTCAAGTTTTTCTGATAAAATAAGTATATCTGAGTATGGTTGTAGAGTGTAATTTTGTATTTTTAAAACACTGAACATTAAGTAAGACATTGATAAAGGAAGATCATCATGTAGCCGATACTTCCTTAAAATCCATTAACATCAGCAACAGCTTTAGTAAATACCTAAGCAGTTAGTTATTTTGCAAAACAGTAAATTTCTGGCCACTGTTCATCTATCTAGAAAATACCTATTTTTATTTTTTAAACTGGGCGAAATTACTGAAAAAATTTTCAGAGGGAGAAGGGCAAACACCTAACGTAACTGTAATTTACTAATTATTCTTTCCCAAAATTAAAGGCAACCCAGCTCCTAAGTAAATGTCTGTGCACACAATACAGAGATTATACTTCTCCAATATACTTGCTATGTTGTTGCTATGCAGGCCAGTCTGGCTTTGAACTCGAAATTGTCCTGCATCAGCCTTCTGGTCGCCAGGATTACACGTGTGCACCACAAAACCTAGCTACCAGTATGCTCTAAGACTGGATTTAAATGAACTATTGACAGATGCTAAAGAGTACTGAAAGCCATCCATGCTGTTTGCTACTACCTGTGTTTATAAGGCTATGCATTATAGACCACATTTTGGACATCTTACTATTTAGTTATTAACTTCCACTATGAGAAGTTTTGCTGTCTTTTCAAAATCAACAACACACACCGAGAAGTATATCCTCTTTTAGATATAGACAAAGCTATGAAATGAAGTATCTCATATATAGGAGCCTGGGGAAAAAAACCATTGGCAGTATCTTCTACCCAACTCTCCTACAAATAAATGCCATATGGAAATTATAGAAATTATCTGTTAAAAGATGAATAACAAGGTCTGGCTAGCACACCTGTACAACCTTATTAAGTGCACACTTCCTGTCAAGTGAAGCTACTTAGTACATGCAACTGCACTGAATGGACCTAACGTGCCCAATTTCTAAACTTGTTCTCATCAGCTTGGCATTTTAAAAAAACCTTTAACTGAATAATTTTGACTATCCAGTCCAATTTATGCTAGAATAAAGGTTAAAAGGGGGGCTTATCCTACCTTTAAACCAGCTTTAAAATATAACACATTGTCACAGAGCTTCGTATGTCAAAGTTTTTTCCTTCATTTCAGCTTGATTGACTTTCCATTTCTTTTTCATATTCAAAATTTCACTGAGAAGAACACTGGATCCAATGGTTTATAAAGCCGATACAACTGCCCTGTTTCAAGAAAAGCCCTTTAATAGATGCAAGTCAAGCTCTCATTTCAACTGAACTTTATTCAAAGGGTGCCAGTTTTCCTCCCTTTACTTCCACTGATGAACTAGTCCAGAATTGATGAGCTAGTCCAGAACTCTGAACATGTTTCCAAAGATGGTAAAGCTAAGAACAGCAAAATAATGACTTTTGGTAATGACACACAAATTAAACTTTCAAAACATGTGCATAGCTTTATTCATCTACTTAGATCTAACCTTTTCACGGAGCTTCGGCAAAACTGAGTGTGCAAAATGCATTTCTAAAACGTAATGCAAGCAAAGCTTTTCACATTTACACTGGCAGGAAATACAGAAACTAACAAGTCACATTAGGGAGACTTCAGATCTGGTTTTGTTTTTTAATGACAAGAATTGCACAGTTTATTATTGAGACAATTGTTGCAGACATGAATATCTAAATTTTCTAAGCAAGGTGCTTTAACAATAATTTTTGTTGTTTAAAAGAGCCAAAAATTTTGGATCAAAGCTCACTAAGAATCCCCAATTAACGTGGACTCCCATCATCTTCCTGTATTTTGCAAACAATGCTTTTAATAACACCTTTCATAACACTAAGGAGACAGCAAGCTGAAACTTTCAAAGAGCACAAAGAAATGGTGTCATCACATTACTTGAAGGTGGTGCTGGGGGTGGGGTAGGTAGTGAAGAATCCTTTTTACTATTTCCCACTATAGACCAGCCACTAACAGACTTAAAAAAAGGGGGGGGGGGAGTAGTGAGGGAAGAGAAACTACTGAAAAGCAAGTCACTTCCCCAGTTTATAAAAGAGTTCCAGTTTGACAAGATCTATGACTTTAAACAGAGAGCACCAGTTGGGCAATAGAATGAGCATTTCAACTGCATAAAAATCAGTGAGGTGGTAAGAACCATCAGCATCTCAGGCATTACTACATGGCCTTTCCAAAGTTAATATACATGCAAGGCACACCGATAGAAAAATAGATCTCTGGCCAACAAATATATTAAGTAAGCAAATTAAAATTTTGGCTCTGTAATATTGGCAACATCAAAATATAACCAGATAGCTTTGGACCACACATCTTTCTCATATTCCTCCACCTCATTTGGTGTCCCTCCCCTACAGACTTTTTGGGTTTTTTCTCCTTCATGTTTGACTATGTGCTTGAGAAGATTTTTCCTTTGTCAAGTAGCATTCTTATACTTTGTTTACCTTTGTTAAGTGAAATATACACTAGAGAAGCAGAATAGTTGGGAGCTTAAGACTACATATGACTGGTTCAGGGCAGCATTACTTTTCTGATGCAAATTTTAAAAAAAAAAAGCCAGCTTATTGACAAAAAAATTACTTCCTTTAATCCTTCCCAGTTCTTTGAAGAAGAGAGGGAATAATAGAAACAAAGCTAAGGTTTAAACAATTTTCAGTAGTAGAAGACACTTTAAGGCCAAAAAGTTTAATATTAACCAAAAGTTTATTTCCTAAGTTACTGTCCCCTTCATAGGTCAACACAAACTACAGACTGACTCACTCCTGAAGAGAATTATAAACTCTGCTCATCACTTGTTAGTGGCTGTGCTAGAGAAAAGGTATTAAAGCAACCTATGGTATATAGTAATGTTAAAAAGTGCATCACATTCTTGATTTTCAGTTTCCCATAGCAGCAGCAGCAGCAGGCGTAATCTAAGACAAAACAGTTGTTTTCATTTTAAAGATGCAACAATACCTAATGAAATGTATTCAAGATTGTGAAAAAAGTATCTACAAAAGATAAATGCAAAGACTCAATAGACAAATAGAACTTAAGGTATTCGTTCATATTTACATATTAAAACCACTTTGTTAAAACCAAATCTTTACAATTAGCAAAAGAAATGTGCATTTTAAGAATAAAACAGATGTCACTAAAGCAGTATCCATTTTGGAGCCTTTGTTTAGCACCTGAGGAAAAGGGATATATGTGGAAAGCTATTGTAATGTTGATGTAAGCTGGTTTGGTCTGTAGATTACAACTGATTTACAGCAAAAGCAAGACTAGGGGAAAACCACTTGTAGCTTTTATAACAAGGCTACTAAAAAAAGACACTACAATGTTATAAAACAGCTTCAGAACCTTGGACAGAAGAAAGTTTTCTAAATAGTTAGTCTGAACCAGCAATCCCACTACAGTTCAGGGTATCTGTTAAGTTTCCAGGCCTTTACTATTTGATAGTCCTTGTAACACAAAAGTAATCAACTACTGATGATTTGTTGGGCATTCATTTTATTGACAGAAAGCTCCAAGCTCACACTACTGCTGGCATCTAATACTTGCTTCCAAGACCTTTCTCTACTCAGTAAATCAGCACTTGAATGGAATTAATGATTTATCTATCACTCTTTTACACCAACACAGAACGACCTTGCTTCTAACACATCTAAGTGTTTTTAAACACTAATTTATAGAACTAATCTCCTGTGTACTTCTGGCCAGCTTTAAGGAGCTACTCATGCTTCTAGGCTTGTCCTGTGCGCACTTTCCAAACTACTAGGGTATAGATAAAATAAGCAAACCCCACCTTTTCTTATAGATAGTCCTATCAAACCCCACCCTGGCAGGCATAAATCAGCAGGATATTGTCCTTCACATGTATTTGATTCATTATACTGTAATAGTTTAAGGTTAAACAGGAAATGTGTCATTTGAAGACTTGGTTGAGTGGCATTAAACCCTTAGCAATTTGAGCAGGAAGTGACTTACATACTCCAATGGACAGCCTTTTAAATTGAGCCAAGTCTTAACTGGTAGAAGTTTAGATTACACACCAAAACAAACAAAAAAACCAAACAAACACAAAAGGAAAAAACTTTTGGTGAGGATTGGAAACAGCCTAACAACCAACTGTGAAACTGCTGCTGCTGTGTCCTAGTTTGTGAATGACTACTACACCTATTCTCTAAAAAACTGTCATTAAAGAAAAAGAAATCATAGCACTTGTTTGATTTATGAACAATTTGCAGATTCTGAGTGGTAACTAACAAAGTAGATGGAGGACAGCAGAAAGCTCTCACTAACAAGTCTCTAGATATTGGATATCCCTCCTAGAAAACAGAGAAGGGCAGGCTACTACAGACACCATAAACACACTATTGATGTGAAGGTTCATTACTAAG